TTAAACTCATGCAGAACACAAAATCCTAGCTGGCAATAGTATAGAAATATCCATTTTACACATTTACTACAGTCAATGAAAACTCATAGCCTGGACAGATGTTTATATTACCAAACTTTGGTCAGTGTTATAGGGTGTTTTAAAGCTTTCTGAAATCCTCTCATTTTTTTCCAGTTGAGAGATTAGAATTTGGAGTTCGAACAAGCAATTTACAGTGACTGTCAGGTCATTTCACAGAGAGTCTTTATCTCATTTTATGTTATCCAGACTGAAGCATTAGTAAAACTGCTCCACGATTCCTTCCATAGTTTATTTCCCACCTCCTTTTCCTTGTGCATTTCTTCCCTTCTGAGAAATGAGAACTACTAGACAAGACATAAGCTGGTAAAGATAGTTTAATTACTATCTAACTACTAGTATCTTTAATTACTTCTATATATTCATATATAATTATGAAAGTTTATGTTCATATATATGAATTTAAGTAACAGAAATTCCTCCTTTTGCAAAGTAACGAAAGAATTGAGAAGTGTGTATAGACAGGATAGAGGGGGAAGATTTTTCAGCATTAATTACTCAGGTTCCTTATGTATCTAACATTCATAATGCTGGATGTGATTCAGAATGAAAAAACATGGTCCTTGTCTTTAAAGTTAAGGACAAGACTTTTGTAAACAATCATAGATATTTCATGCATGAAGGTAATAACTCATTACTGAATCTATGAGAAAATGTATATAAGTAGTAAGGGTAACAAGAATTTGTCAATGTTACTGGGGATAACAGATTAAGACACACACATACACACACAAGCACACATACAACGTATAACAGAAGAAAACACAATCTGAATTTTACAAGATGAGGACATGTCTGAAATGAGATTTAAAAGGAGACTAGAAAGAAGTATGGTGAGAAATGTAAGTTAAGAACAGCCCAGAATAAGAAATACCTCATTGTAAAAAAGACTGGGACTGGAAAGGAGGGGACAGGGTTGGGGGGAGGTAATTATGCAACAATGAACGAATATTTTTAAAAAAAAAAGAAAAGTGGACTGGGGCAAGAGATGTACAACAATGAAAGAAAATCCAACTTTTCTGTAAATATTTTTAACATCAAAATGAAAATAAAATTTTATTTAAAATAGGATATAAAATACACTTATAATTTTGGATTGTTATTTGCTATTGTTGTTTTCTGTAGAGTCAGAATCGACACATAGCTTAACATCCAGAGGATTTTCAAGGCAGTTACTCACACAGGAGGAGATTGTCTACCCTCTTGCAGAGCAACTGGTGGATTTGAACCATGTGCCTTTGGGATTGCAGCACAGCTTCTCTCCACCAGCCCACCAGAGCTCCAATTTTTTATTAGCAAGCAAGCTTAGAGATGACTAATATCAGAATATAGAGTCCAGAGGGGGCAAAGTTGATGAACAATAGGCCAGAATGCAGAAGGCTTACATCATACATACATTCAGGTTTTACTTGAGATTTTATAGCATAACTCTGGAGAAATTGAACCAAAATATGAATTGTATTTAGGCTGATTACTCTTGTAGCAGTGAGATTTGTGGGAAATGTCAAGAAAGGAGTGGGTAACAGTGTAACATCCCAAAAAGAGGTCTTATAATGTGAAAATGAAAAAACCCCTCACTTGATAAAGCAATGTATTTATTAGAAAGTTATATTTGGCCACATAACCTTTAGTGGCTGGAATCTTGACCAAAACAGGTTGAAGAAAATAAATAGAGGTGACAGAAAAGGAGTAAGAAAAAGTATAGCAGCCAGAGTAAACCTATTTACAAAAGAAAGACTAAAGGAATAACTTATTACAAAAGTAAATTTAATCCAAAGAAAAAATATTTCAGAAGGAAGAAAATTGTTCTTATTGTTCTATAAATAAGGCACCAATACCTAATATTAGAATTCCTGGGGTGGTGAAAATGATTAACACACTAGGCTGCTAACTGAAAGATTGCAAATTTCAGTTTACACAGAAACCCCTCAGAAAAAAAGCCTAAACACCTACTTCTAGAATTGAGTCACTGGAAATCCTAAGGATGACAGTTCTATGCTGACACTCAGTGTTATCAGGCAGCTCTATTTATTAACATGACATACTATCCAACTTCCTTACAAAATGAAAAGTAAAATAATATGAAAAGCGAGATGTGTTCCTGCTCCTTAAAAACAATTTTATGATTGTGAAATTACTTTAGCTCTCTAAAAAAATTATTATATTAGATGGCAGTAAATTAAAATGCACTGGTTATTCTTTAAGTTCTGAGTGGATTGAACAGATGACCCCCGCAAAACACCCCTAAATTAACCTAGTATTGGCTAGGATAGTTTGACAGGCTAAATTTAAATTTGCTGTCCTTTACAGAAAAGATTTACCGATTTAAAGATTTACAGATTCTCAATATGGCTGGAAATAGAAATTATTTTTCCTATACAAATGATTAAAGCCAAGAAGGAGGTATTTCCACTCTGTCACATGGGATGGCTATGATTGACCTAATGACATTGAAGACATTTGTAATATAGGTTACAGGGTCATATGGAGGAAAGCAAAAGATGGGGATGTTTCCCTTGCTCTATCCATCAATCAGACACTTCATAGCTATTTTCAGCTCTGGTCCTACAGAAAGGACCAGAACAGTACTCCTTTTCAGACCTATGTACTACATACATAGCTAGCACTGTGTTTAGTACTGGCTTCTAAAGTGTCCCCTCTATCTATGTGAGACATTCTTCTTTCTTGGTTGAAGCCTTTGAGTCAGTTCTAATATATGGATACCCCATCTACAGGAGAAAGAAGCACCAAGCAATCCTATAACAACCTCACAATTGTTGCTATGTTGAGTCTCCTGTTGCTCTCACTGTGTCTCAATCCATCTTCTTCTTTTCACCAACCCTCATCTTGCTAAATACAATGTCCTTATCCAAGTCCCTCCTAATAACACATCCAAAGTCAATAGAATAAAGTCTCACCATCCTCACTTGGAAGGAACATTTTGGCTGTACTTCTTCCAAGGCAGGTTTGTTCATGCCTTTGGTAGGTCATGTTGTTGTTGTTGGTATGTGCCATCGAGTCACTTGTGACTCATAGCAACCCTATGTACAAAAGCCCTAAATTCTGCTCTGTCCTGTGCCAATCGCACCATCTCCAACACACTCATGCCGATTACCCCAGTCACTGAATCACTCCACCTCACAGGGGGCCTTCCCCTTATGTGCTGTCCCTCTACCGTACCAAGCATGATGCCCCTCTCCAAGGACC